TACGTCGAGGTGCCAATTATACCCGCAACGCTCGAGATACAGACCCTAAAAACAAGCGATTCCGATTATTCCGATTACGCAAACGGAAATAGGCGAGAGATTTACGATCTCTCCCGGAGATCTTGGAACTTGCATTCTTTGAAATTGCAAATTTCAATCTCGACAGTGGAACGAGACTGTTATCGGACTTTGGCTTTAAACGTCTTTATTTACTGATCCACAACGTGAAATAACGTCAAAATAAAATCCGCTTGGAAAATCGTTCGAGAGAAATAAAATCGATTGTACATTCTGAAAATTTCTTCAATTTCCATCTGCGTGTTTTTATTACAATGACACTGATCTTGTGAGATCGGAACACACAAAAAAAGGACAGGTTTCTCTGAAACATCTGAAAAATCAGATTTATAAAATAATTTTGAGCTATCAAAATAATTATATACAGCGTTTTCAATTGATTTCTAGAATGTCAAAAATTTTTCGCAGTATTATGTCCTACGCGTAATTATACATTCTGATGGCTCAAATTCTAGGCATTCTAGGCATGTCGCATTTCTAGGCAAAATCGTTCGCGTATCTACGGCTAAGAAAATATGAAGAAATTGGAGCGCCCTGCGCATTCCACATTAAAGCTCCGAGTAAAAGAAGGAATATTCATGGGTGAAAATATCTTTCCGAGCAATCTAGTTTCATTCGTATGTGAACTAGGTGCCGCTCTAGGGTCACGATGGAGAGATATCTCGAGTCCCCTGGGACTGGACGGTGGAAATGAATCCGCGGATGCGCGGACAATTATCGCACTGTGCCGAAGAGAAAATGCGCGCTCTTATGCGCCGGGTGTTTGAACGTTAAATTAACCGTTTCGGGGACAGCTCCGATAAAACGGAGGCAAGAGGCCACGAAGACGAGATCGCTTGGAAGGCAATCGCTGGGATGGAGCGTAACTTTCAGAAGCGCGACGGCGGCTCGATTTTTCTCTCCCTCGTCCCGCGCGTCTCGCCCGCCGCTCTCTTATAAAAGCGGAGAAAACTCGCTTGAACTTCGCACCATAAAAATGCCTGAGCGCAATTGTTATGGCCACATTCGTGCCGCGTGTATGCAAATGCACTTTTCTTCGGCCCATTGTTGTACGTGATGTTATGAGCGTCTCATCGAGCGAAACAAGCCGATGCGTCGAACGATGGAATGTATATATTATATATATATATATATATATATATATATATATATAGTAGA